CATAGGCTACTGACATGAAAAGTCACTCAGCTGTTCGACCAAAGAGCCAGGCTGCCACTCCCCAACCCACTTCCAGAGCAGTTGTACACGGGCTAGAATCTCTAAAGAGGAGAGTTTACCATGCTTGCGAAGGGAAAGTGAGTACCTACCCTTGGGGGGCAGGGGGGGGCAGGAGAGAATAGGGATCCGAGAAGGCTGAGCCACGGGGGCAGACAGACCTAGGCACACAGACACGAGAGCACACCATCCAAAGACAGCCGAGCAAAGGCACGGTGCCGGTGAGGTGCAGACACCCACCTTCTAGGGTTAGCCCAACGAACCAGGTGAGTTACAATTCACACCACTTCCTCTGCAAAAACAAACATGCTGAGCTATGACTGTGCAGATCCAAGGAACTCACTTTTAAGCCCAGGAAACACTGTACACGGGAATCTCAGCCATGGAGACGAGAATGCAATCAAAGGAGACGGCCCCACTGTGTTCCTGGCCCTTGTGCACCTCTGGTCCCGCTGACACTGTCCCCAGCCAGCGCTGCTTCCCCGAGAGGCCCCGACCGAGCTCTGGTCCTCTGAGCACAGGCTGTGCGGGACTGACTGCTCAGGCCTGACACCGGCAGTCGGAGGGCTCCTCCAGTCAGAGGCCCACATGAGGGTCACAACACCCTAAGCTTTTCAGGAATAAATGCTTATAACTTCCCCCAGCCAAGGACCTCCAAGGAGTCCACAGAGGGCACTGTCATCCAGGAAAATCCTGAGCACAGCTGTGAGGAAAGAACAGGGGGGTGCCCCTCCTGAGAGCACACACTCGGGGCGTCAACAACACACATTACTGGGCAGCTATTCCTCACCGCCGGCCAGGCGCTGCTGGGGACGGGAAATGGTTCACTGCGAATTGTTTTCTGAAGGTAATGATAAAATATGCAGATGAATAACTCAACTATAGGATATGTTATCTGTAAAGCACCACGAGGGAGGTTCAGATAAGAGTGTCCCTTCAGACCAGGGTCTGAAAAGACTTCATGGAAGAGACACAATGTGGGGTTATTCCTGAGCAGCTATAGGAACAGGGATACATACAGAAAGACGAGCAGGGCTAAGGAGGCATTTCAGATGCAGAAAGCAGTGGAGGAAACGCCAGGATGTGGACAAGTGGAGAGGAGGGTGTTGAGGTGGAACTCAGGGTGGACAGATGGGTAGGACTGTGAAGGAGAGGAATGTATGATAAACCAAAAAGGGTTGGACAGACCACGGAGGACCCGGCCGTGGGGGTCTGGCCTTTCCTCAGAGGGCAGTGGGTAGCCACTGAAGCCTCAGGATCACTTATCCAGCAAAAGGCAGGCAGCTGCGGTGGGATGGAGAGGAAGGGAAAGACGTGGAGGATGCTGTAGAGGCAAAATGTCAACAGGCTAAACACAAACTGGCCTCAACAAGAGGAGAAAAGGGGCAGAAAAGGGGGCCAAAGACTTAGGGGAGCTTCTCAGACTTCATTGTTGGGTCACCCAGACTCCACTGAGCAGCTGGTAAGAGCCAAGCACTTTGCCTGATAAAGGGCATGGGCCTTGCCCTCCGTGGGTGCGGGCCTCAGGAGACCTCAGGGCAGGTGTGACATGGCAGAGGCGCATCCCCGCTTTTTTTGTTGTTGTTGTTATTCCTCACCAGAGGATATTTTTCCACTGGTTTTGAGAGAGAGTGGAAGAGAGAGGGAGAGACCAAGACGAACATCAATGTGAGCAAGGCACATCAACTGGTTGCCTCCTGCACACACCATGCCCTCGACCGGACTTGAACCCGGGACCCTTCAGTCTGCGGGCTGATGCTCTATCCACTGAGCCAAACCGGCTAGGGTGAACATCCCTACGTTAGACAGTTATAATGTGAGGCCATTCAGCACTACAGAGAAATGGGAGGTGGGCTGGGCGAGGCGGGGGTACCAGGAACAGGCTGCACAGACTGAACACTGTCAACCACGTCAGTTTGCTGAGGAGAAACTCGAGTTTGGGAAGCAAAATAAAGCATTTTTCAACACAGTGAGGTACAATATCGTAATCATCCCCACTCTAACACCCCATAAAGAAGAGCTCCCCCACACCCCATGCTAAGAAGAAAATTAAGGAAGTGATATACGTTTTTCAATAAGTGGAACCGAGGAAACACTGCCACTCACGGAGCCAAGGGGGACGTTACTGTGGGAACTGAGCTGCCCCGTTTCCATGGCTTCAGCCTCGCTAGTTCCCTGCAAGTCCACAAATGTACGCTGCATTGAAACTTGAGATTGTTTATACTTTTTTTAAAAAAATCTAACCCTGGGAAAACTTGCTGCCCCCAAGGTAGTTTCTAAATCCCCACAGCTGGCTGCATTACGCACAACCCACACCAAACACACACTGTACCCAGAGGGATGGCCAGGTTTCTCACCCAACCAAGGAATCACATCACTACCAACAACCCGTAACAGGCAGGGACACCTTCCACACAGCCGGCCCTGGATCTCACTCTACGCGCTGGACATACACATTTCCCACAGAGCTATGAAGCAAAGAGAGCCACGCGCTCCCGAGAAAGGTAGAGCTTGGCAACCCGTCCCGGTCTCTGACCTGTGCTGTGCCATTCACATTCACTGAAAGGTATTTACTACAGATGAAAAACAAGCTTCGCGCAGCTGCCTCTAAACCCATCCCAAAAATAGAGCAATCACTTTGGTACAAATTGGGTCAAATGTATAAAAAAAAAAAACCGGCTCCCTGGCAGGAGGGCCGACATGGCATGGGACCTCGCTGAGAGTCAGGGGAAATCCACAACGATCTTCCATTCCCACAGTGGGAAAGGAAATATTTAAAGAGTCAGACAGAGAATAAACTCATCTGACCACGTGACCATCCTAGTGAACACAAGACAAACTCGGGAATGCTATGAGTTCCAGAATCCCGAGAGGTCAAAGAAATAGATGTTGGTTTTTAGAAAGGCCTGCCAAAAGAACACACTGCCCCATCCCCCCCGAAAGAAAGACCAGTGTTTAAGAATTGTGAAAGAAGGATCAACTGGAGAAGGGCTGCCAGGGGGAAGAAGAGAGATTTACCCATCGCCTATCTTTCACTCCATCCCTTATTAGCTAAGAAACCCAAATGGTTTGACAGCACATATATTAATAGTGCCCCAAATTTCCCTGGGAAGAATCAGAATATTAATTGGCTGTACATGCTGAGCTTCATTAATTTTTCCTTTGACTTGAATTAATCTGCCTTTCTGAAAGGTGTTTATTTTCTAAATTTGTTTAATCGTGTTCTCTTGAGCTACAAAAAGGAAAAAAAAAAACACAACAAACTGGGTCAGCATCCACGTTGTTAAATTTGGTAACAAGGCTGACACCATCTGTGGCCTAGACGCTGGTGACCTACCCCCACTGATGGGGGCTTTTCGGGACTTCTGCTTTCCCTGTGAAGTGATCATCTAATGTCGCTATCTGCCGCGAAAGCAGAAGCTATTTTAAATATGCAAAGTTACACAAATCATCTTCAACCCAGTATAAATATGTACTAACAGTAATTGTGTGTATGAATATCTAACTCCCGTTTACAAGTGAATTTTCAGTAGCAATGTCCACACACTTTTAATGATCTAGAAATCTGACCAGAAAACCCCAAAGATGAATAGACATCATGCTACATCTGAACTGTGCCATGTATTTTACATGTGCCATGAAATCTGGTACATAAACTGTGAGGGCTACTATCACAAGGGCACAATTTCAGAATCTTCAGAACTCAGCAGAGCACTGCCCACACCAATTCTGCTTTGACAACCCTCCGTCAAGATCATCCAGCCCCACTGAAACGCAGCTTCGCCACGAGAAACCTAAACAAATGCAAGCAGCTCAAAGAAGAGAAAGCAAAACAATGGAGAGCGTTGCCTGTCGGAGGCACGAGCCCCCTCCTCCATCTGCCTTCCTGCCCGGCCTCCAATTATAAAGGACTGATCTGGCAAGGATGCTGTGGCTCCAGAAAGAATCCTGAAATGGCTTCTGAATCATCAAGGAAAGATGACAGAATTTCAGAGGTAAAAACAACCCCAGTGACCTTCTCATCCAACCCCCTTAATTGGGAGGTGGGTGAAAGGCAATGCAGAAAGGGCATGGGAAATGCCCCCAAATATAGCCAGCTGACAGTCGAGTGAGACAAGCTCCTAGTCCCACACTAGCGCTCTTCAGTGCCTTTTTACATTTAGTTTTTAACTATATCAACCTTTCCCGAAGGAAGCTCCACGAAACACTGGTTCTGTGATGTGTCCTGCCAAAACAATGTTTAAAGAATCCATGACCAATTACTTTTAAGGACTAGCTGAGTTAAACAAAATGAAACTGGTTTTTTAACTCCAAACTTTCCCGGAGCTTTTACTTGAGCTGATGTGCACTATAAATCTTGAGGAGGGCAATAAAATATGTGGAAGAATCCCAATTTATTTAACCACGGAATCATTTTATCTTTGGGGCATCTCATAGGACTGGGAGTAAGAACTTCAATCCTACACTGTGCTTCTCTGAGTGATGCACCACTTAGTTTACTGGCTTTGCTGCACTCTACTTCTCTAAAAATTCATAGTTTATACACAACATCTATGGTAATTCTCTATTTACCAGAAAAATTGACCAAAGTACCCACCACTCCCAAATAACACTGGATTTAAAAAAAAAATCTAATATTCTCAGGAAAAGAATGTAGACAGCAAAAGCCTATATGGAGAGAAAAGTCATTTTAAAATCTGCTAAAACGTCTTCCATAAAAAGTTCTACATCTATTTATGCAAGGTCCATGACTTTAAACACTTTCATTCAGTATAAATTTGAGAATACGCGTTTTAAAAATAAACAACCACTGTTGTAAAGCTCCGGGAAACAACACATGCGTAGCGATGAACTTCCACCACCCAGGAAGCCAGCTGCCAGTAAGTATACAGGCAAATGATAACCACACAATCAGGACAAGGAGGAACTCTGAGGACACTTACCAAGTTATGATTTGTTGAATTCGAATCATCTTCAGGGAATGGGATGTAAATAGCTAAGGCCACACAATTGGCAAAAATAGCCAATAATATAAATATGTCAAATGGTCTGAAAATGTTTGTTAAGGTATATACATATATATAGACACATACACACACACACACACGTGTGCATATGTTATACAAACACAAACCATCTCTCTCATCGCACTCCCAATCACACCACTTTTGAATCACTTTTAAAATGAAAGTTATATATACAAACTGACTGTTGTGAAAAATAATCTCGGGGGTCATCTCACTGTAGATGTTGCTATCAAATGACCTCTCCGTGTCCCCTTCTTCTGTTACAAAGATCATGTTACACTCATGCTTCTGCTGACCATTTTATATTAAAACCTAAAAGTACATCCAATGAGGGCACTGTGCGAACCAGGTTTCTGCTTCTTATAGTTTTAAAACCAACAAGGGCCTTAGAAAGCTAAATTTCTGGCTGTTTGTTTCTTTCCAGGCCCAAAGAGAAGTCATCACGAGACAAATCTCTCCCACAAATCCTTGCCTCCAGGTGTTAGAGTCATTTTCTCCGGGATATTGGCTGGGTCAGTTTGAATCTCCTGCCTGGACCGAGCCAGCCTAGTCACCATGACCTTCTCCATTCTACCTGTGACTATCTCGGGGCTTGTCCCAATTCCGCAGACACTGTAATACGCAAACTAGGCTTCTCTACTAATCAATGGTTTGCTTCAAATTAGAGCTGGACTGGAGCTCCGTTTACAATGTGCTTTTACTGCATGTACTTTATCACACATTAAATTAAAAGCCATAAGAAATCAGCACCAGACACATTTTTTTTTAGCACCAGACACTTTCAAAGTAAAACATAACAATTCTAAATCTCAGGGGTCGCTCTGTCTGGGAGAATCACTGAGGTCAGCGATTCAAGAGATACTTGCTCAAACATTCTGGTGTTACTAAGAGACATTGTCAAAACTGGCAACACCAAAGTTGACATCTGCCAAAATGACTGTTTTTCTCCTTTTGGTTTTCAGCCTTTCCAAATGAAAGGTTTCATGAGCACCAACCTAACCTGCAAGTTTGGAGCTTGATTTTCCAGGTGTTTCTCCCATATGCTAACCCACTAGGCAAGGCCACGGGTTTAACTAAACACCTCAGAGTCCTGAGAACGTGAACAGATCCTCCTCCATCCACTCTGATATCCTTCCGGGAAACCCAAAACTGCTGCAGGCAATGAAATCCCCTCCCCTCCAAGGGGATACCTTAGGTAACACTCATTGAAGTAAGAATTATGTTATTCCCTCGCTGATGTTGATTTATTTTTAAATCCAGTTAGTTTTCATTCATGTTTATTCTCTTAACCCATTTGTCCTATGAGATCTCTTATCCAGAGGTCCAACTTTAAGGAAATCCAAATTAAGACATCAGACTCTCCTTTTTATTTTCATTTTTAGCAGTTCCTACTGAAATGTAAAAAGCCAACTGCCCCAGCGTTATTCTATATAGAAACACACTGTCTCTCCCTTCTTCCTCACCACCATGCTTTCTTTTTCACTTCCCAATACCTAAATGATAGACCAGCAAATCCGAGAAATAGAGAAGCTGTTCAGGAAGGCCAAATGGAAGTATCTTGTTCTGTATGGTGGTCCAGTTGCAGTCTCCAGGTACTGGTGGCCACGATCCCCCGGCCGAGGAGAACAAAGCAATAGAGGAACGGATAGGTCGGATCCTAAAAATCCCTTCTGATAAGGCGACACTCCTTGCACCCCCCTAGGTGCAGGACTCCCTCTGCCTTGCCTGTGTGCACACACACACGAGGCTCGCTCTCTCCCAGAGCTGGCTGGGCCTGGCACAGCTGGCTTTCGGAGGATTTCTAGAACCTGCTCCCTGCACTAGAAGGACGCTGTCCTTTGAAAACAAACAAATGATACCATATATATCATTCAAGGATCTATTCTACCAACTGTCCTTTTTGTGGGCAGGCTCCTCCCTGCACTGGCAGCCACGTCCCTTAATTCCTGCACACACATGTCTGGAGACACAGACAAGGGAGTTGGCAGCATGACCCAGGAAGTCACTCCAGGCACATAAATTGCTACGTACAAATCACTGTGCACAAAGAGGAACAGCACCAGGCCTCCCACCTCACTGCACGAGGAATGAATGACTCCACCGAGGGGCCTCTGCTGACTCGCAGTCCCCGCTAGCCAGCCTAAGGAGGAGGAGATCTTTCTGGCAAAACGCAACCACTGCCTCTGACCCCAGGGATGCCACCAGCACACCCTCTTTACCTGGCTCCCTAGGGCCGGCACTGGTGTTCATTCTCAGACTAGAAAAGAATTTAAAGAGAGAACACATCCACACCACCCCAGCCATGTGAGAGACACCATAACTCCCTCTAGAGAAGAGACATCTGTTCTAAAAAGGAAAAGAACGTGAAAACCCCTCAAATCCTATCCTTGCATTTGGCTGCTCTCTCCAAAACCTTTCTAGAGAATTACCTCACTTTAACTCCGTGTGCGTGAGCACAGAGGTAGCCAGTTAAGACAGAGGGAATGTAAACAGCTGCCTGGCTAGGTACTCAAACTATAAGAGGGTTTCTGCTCTACCTTCTAGCCCTTTCCAACATCCTCCCCTTTCAGTGTGCCCCCACCCAACAAGATGTGGGTGTGGGAGGAGCCCTAGATTCACACTCCTTCCTATAGCTAGAAACTGCTCTAAGGCCCCTTGTCAGCCCCAAATATACTTCTAGGGAAAGGAGATGCTTTGTTTTACCCAGACCAATGAATGGACTGGCTAATTAGAAGTCATTTGCATAGAAAGAAGGCCTCAGTCAACCTTTTCTGAAGGGAGGCCATGGTAACTGGAGCCTGGCTGCCAGATCTGGGGAAGGGGATGAGCAGGTGAGCACCCTAGTTTCCCAAGTCCTGGGACATAACCACCATCCTGGGGCACGTGGAGTTCAGTTTTAAAAATGCAAAGGGGACACCCAGACATGTAACTCCAGTCCAAGGACATAGACAGAATTTCTTATAAAAGCAGCCACTGCAAATTCCTCCACTGAGAGGGCTGTTCAAATAACTCCTACGGCCTGGGGAAAAGAGGCGGCCACAAACCCCTCCCTTCACATGCTCCCTCAAGCTCACGTTCCAAAAGCCTTTTCCGAACCTGTCAAAAGGAAATTCCAGAAAGTCATAGCATTGATAAACAAAAGGCTCCCTCCCTCTGAAGCAAGTGCTTGTATCTGTAGTTACCTGAACAATTAGAATCGCCAAATGTCAGAGCTGGAAGCAACCTCAGCATTCATTGGAATTTCAGAAAAGCAAATCCCAAACATCAAAACGAGAAGATTCCACTAAAGGTGAAAAACGTATGTACTTCTAGTAGAGTCTCAAACCATCTTCGTTTTTGTTCATCAGCAGACCTTAGTGGCAATAGGTTCAGTGCATACCACTGCCCCAAAACAACAGTGGCTTTGAACTAGCCATCTAATGCCAAACGACCAAAAGTTAGTTCCACATTGTAATTATCCACCACTTGGAAGTTTTGGGATGTCACTCCCTACCCCGACTACCACCACTACACACACACACACACACAGAAGGTTAAATATACCCTCCGAGCCACCCCTCTGCCCCTGGAGGGGATAGGAAGGTATCTACAATGAAACGCTTTTCACACAGCTTCTGTTGCACACATTCCAGACTGCAACCACTTTGTAAGTGCCATTGCAGAACACAAATCCTTTTAAAGAACAGATGGCAAAAGAAAATGAGAAAGACTCCCCCCCTCCCCCAAAAAAAGGATACTTCCATTCCACTATACTAATGCAGGCTCTTCGGATGGGGTTATTGAGTGATAAACAGAAGAGGGCGCGGGCAGGTCGGCTGTTAGACGAGTTACCCTGTTTTTTGCTCTTGGTGTATTGCTGACGTTTTCTTTGGGAGAGAGATCCTACAGGTGGGGGTGCGGAGGTGCTCATGGTCTGGGCAGCCTTGGCCTGTCGCGCAGCATCGATTGCGGCCTGCCAAGACAGGACGGTCTGCTTGGAGCTGTTCGGCTGAGAAGTTGGTCCTTCACCAGAGAGAGAGAACCTGGTGCTTCTTGCATAGTTTGCCTCTGGAAAGAAAGAAAAATATATATTTTTTAAAAAAATAAATGAGAACCCGGTGTCAAAAGAAAGCAAAGATTTGCCTCCCATCAGTAACAAGGGGGAAGCATTCCCATGTTCCCATTTTTAACCTCATGTCCTGTTTTTCAGTGACAGGGATCTGGTTGGCCACTTGGCCCTGAGTGTCAGTCACACTGGACGGGACCGTGCAGCAGGACGCCCAGGGGCGCACACCTCTCCACCTCCATGAAGTCACAAGGCGTCTTCCAGTGCATTGCTCCAGACAAGCTGAGGTCATTCCCACATTTATTCCACATCTATCTTTCCTTGTTTAAAACCCATGTGTTTCTAATGAGTTAACAGATACGTACAATAGCTTTTCTCTAGAATAACTACCACCATCACACACACCAAGAAAAGGCCATGCCAATAATTCAATCGTCTTAATCATTCTCGGGGTGTTACTCCAACATCTCTCCACAGCCACCAATTCATTTTTCAGCATGGAATAAGAAGTCCTCGGCTGGCACCAGGGCCGTACCCAGAGCCCCGTAACAAATATCTAGATTATGCACTGACACTTCCTGCAAATGAAAATTCATGATGGTTGGGACTCATTTCCTCCACGGGCTTCCGAAAACAGCAAACATCTTTAGGGCTTTTTTGCATTTTAAATTGCAGCCGCAGCAGCCAAACCAGCATCCAGAGAAACAGACAAGGCAGGCAGCCTGCACCCGTGCGCCTTGGATAGCCGGCTGGATTATGCCAGGGGGCCTCAAGGCCTAACAGGAATCATCTCGGTGTAGTTGGCATCCCGGTGCACAAGGGCAGAACCCCAAGGGGACGGACGTGCAACGCTCTCTCTGGCTTTGGGTCAGGCCACTTCCTACGCTGGCCTCCCAGCACCTGCCTAAAAAGGGTCACAGCCTTCTTACTGAGACAGAAGTCAAAGTGAGAGTGGTGGAAGTGGACAAGGGACGGGC